GTTAGAATGGAAGGGCTTGCGAAGAGTGCAGACAAGAAATCTGCAGCTTTTAGAAACTGATTTTAGATAAACCCCCAATGATAAAATACACAAATAAATCCATGGAGCTTTTCATTTAGGGTACAAATACTAAACAGTGTTTTATATATATATATATATATATATATATATATATATATATATATATATATATATATATTTTATCATTTGGTCAGCGGAGTGTCCCTTTAAACAGTACAATAAGCTACAATAGGTTGAACCAATAGTTATACAAAGAGACAACTCAAAACATTTCTGTGTCTCCCTAAAGCCTGACTCAGATATTCATAGGTTTAAGGGGGGATACAGACATATGGTAGGAAGTCATTCTGATAAAAGGGAAGGGAAAAGGGAGGAATCTACAATGCTGAGCTGAGATAAGTGAAAAAAGAGACTAGCAATCAGAATCAATTCAGAATCAACTGAATATCCTGCCTAAATGACAGCCTCCAAGCCCAAATCCCATGAAGACCTAGCTAATTTATCTCAATGCAGTTTCCGCTAACCGCTCAGGAAATAGGGTCCGATCTGAACTATGTCCTACAATACCTCTATGAGTGAGAGCAAACATTTACTGTACGAACTACATGGTCTGCCTGCTCTCCTACACATCCATTGGTGTAAGTGGTTATGGTACCTGAAGTCCCCTGGCGCTTTATTCTGGAAAGGAATCAAACCGTTGTGAATCATTTCAGACTCACCCGGGTTCCCGGTCACTGTGCTTTTAACCTCCTTTATATATAGCTAAGACAGATTTAATGTTTTTCAAAAAAGATTTTATTAAATAAAGCAGAAGCAGTAGATATAGTTGAACAGAACAAATCTGTCGAATAATACATACACATACATTTTAAAATAAAGTAGGAATAGGGTGAGAAAGAGAAGAACAACAACAAAAAACAGGGGGGGAAGGGGATTGTTATCTAAATTTATCTCTGATGGGATGGAGAGTGGAATCCAAAACGCTGTGATGACAAAGCTGGAAGCAGAGTTACACCTCAGGTAGGAAAGGGGTTAAACTCTGTATGTGCAGCATTTCATATGTAAACACTAAACATAAAGACTCCAAGCACCATAACTACTACAAATCACTAAAGTGGTCATGGTGTTAGTGTAACCCTTGAACTCCATCATCGGCAGTTTTCGTGACGCTAAATTCCCTTAACAGGAGTATTAAAATGGCAAAATCAGTATGAAGGTGGGTATTCCTTTAAGTATTGACGCTTAGCTCAGAATACTGGCAAAAAATATGATATAATATCTTAGTGGACAGAAAGTCTATCGATATCGTATGGATCCTTATCCCAGACACATGTTTTGAATCCTTCTTTTGTTGAAAAATCAATACAGGTTGCAAATAATATTAAAAAAAATAAAAATAAAAAATTAATAAACTGATCTCACGCTTGTCCTTGCCAGCCAAAATACAATGAGTGGGTGGCTAAGAGTCATGGGATTCCTGCACCAACAGCTGAATGTCCAGCATTCTCTCTTTATTTTCATTAGGACTCCGTAGCTTAGTGGAAGAACTTTTACACTTCCTTCCTCGGGATCTAGAATGTGCAATCCCCTTTATTCACAAGTCTCTGTTTAGTGACGAAGCCATTGTATTTCCTTTTATTATACATGCTGTTTTTGTATTTGTTAACTTTTTGCAGCTTTTATATGTATTTGTAGCACTGTATTATTTTATAAACTTCTGCAAGGTCTCCATTATAGAGATCAAAACCCTTCACAAGTCTTCAAACCTGAATTTCCAGATTTGAACTTTCCACAGTTAATCAATCACACACCTACAGAGCTAATTATATTGCTCTGTGTAACGTATATAACCCTGGCCGGTGATGTGGAACTTGTGCACAGTAGCTGTAAAAGACGTTTATAGGAGGTGTTACTTTTTATGTCTTGAAGCGCTGGTGAAGCCATCAGTTTACTTTATCTGAAACTAACCTTACAAGGAAACACAGATCAGTTTGATGAGCCGCATCCAGCTGTTAGCGACAAAATAATCAACTCTATGACATAAACAAACAAGGACTCTGATAAATGATGATATAAGACTCCGTCACGTATCCCACTGTTCCATTGAGTGGTTTATTTGCGATTTCCCATCTGTTTTACCACAAACTGTATCATCTTAAAGAAGCAGTTATGAAAAAAAAGTGATTTATATATATCAGTTGTCGAAACTTGCACTTGAAACTAGCCATTTAGGCCTGTCTAATATAAATTCACACCTGGAGGGCATACTATGGCTTGCAGTTGCAAATAATCTTTAAGGCAAAAAGTGTAAGGTTTCTAAGCTTGTTATCGGTTTAGGTAGGCAGTTTGAACAACCCAAACCAGAATCTCTTGTTTTTGGTCGTAGGTAGATACTGTATTACATAAAAGAAAGGGGCAATGAAGCAGTACATTAGGATGTCACCAACAGGGTCAATATAAATTGTGAGTGCACATCTAACCATTTATTGTGACTCCTATTGAGTGTACTAAATATACTACACCATGGGTGTCCATAAGGTAGATCCACAGATGTTTTAAAACTACAGCTTCCATGATGCTTTATCATTCTTAAGGCATGCACGTTCTACAACATTCTGGGGATTTAACCTTTGGATCCCCCATGTACTACTGTCAGGATCCTACCCAGACAAACAAGTCTTTTTGCTCCTTTTATTCTGTACCTTTAAAACCAAGTTGCTGCACTGATTATGTTTGACCATTAGTGGCCTCCCTTGCCTCCAATTCTGAAAACATACCTGATAATCCTCACCTGCCTGGACTAATTGAGCAACCAGCACTTTTGCCAGCCCAACACAGGACACAGCCTGCACGGAGCATACTCAATCGTGGAAAAAAGCTGGTTGAAAATGTGCAGTTTCCTTGTGGATATCCCACAATTCCATGCTTATTGACTAATCACCTTTAGGTGCATTACACCATGCAGTTTTGGGCTTGTAGCTGCAACAGTTTTTATAAAACTGCGTAGGTCATTAAAAGGGAACAGCAACAAGAGTGCACCTTATGTCATAATGTAGTCATGGTGGTTTGAATTTTCCTTTAAAGGGACACTGTTGACACCCAGACCACTTCAGCTATGCATGAGGACCTCCAGTGTCGCCGGAATCCCCACAGGAAAGCACTGAATAATGCTTTCCTATGGGGAGGTCTAATGCGCAAGGGAGGTCTAATGTGCATGCGTGGCCTTTGCCACGCATTCGTATTAGGTCTCCCCCGCCAGTGGGGGAGGTGCATGGGCAGAACATGACCCAGTGCCAAGGGACATCGGCGTTGGATTCAGGTAAGTGTCTGAAAGGGGTTTTAACCCCTTTAGCGACGTGGGATGGGGGGCACTCTAGGATTCTCTAGTGCCAGGAAAACGGGTTTGTTTTCCTGGCACTAGAGAATCCCTTTTAAGGAGGCACCTGCAAGTGAGACATAAAGGACACTGAACCCAATTGTACACACAAGGACAAAAAGTAAACAATCACAAGCTGGGTTATTTACTAAAGTGAGGATTCTCTGTAATTCAAAGTGAATTTTAAATGTAAGGCCAATATAGCTGTATTGGAGAAACCCAAGTCAGCCATGCTTATTTGGCCACTTGAGTCTTGCATTTGAAACTCTCTTTGAGTTCCAGACAATTCTTACTTTAGTAAAAAGCCATATATTACATATTGACATATTGACAAGCAACAGGGTTTTATTTGCAAGCCGTAAAGAGAAAAATCCCTAATTGTCCCAGAAACCTACTTTCCCATACTACAGCAACCTATCCTGCCTGCGATATAGTTTTTGTGATATTTACCTAAACCCATCCATAACATGTTGGAATGTACATAGTGTTCTATGCAACGCATACAAATAGTTTATGTATTTGTACTTG